ACTAATCATATATTATAACTAGCATTGTCCGCGGTTCCGCACGGGTTCAGATGACCAAAAACCGAATTCTTAGGTTTTACATATTAGTATACTCTTACAATGCCGTTTTTGTATTTTTGACCCGGCTAACCAGCTATCACCATACCAAATTTCATCAAAATCCAGTGGTTTTTCTGTGATGCGGTAATAGACAGAAAGACAAAAAATCTAAAAACTATAGATTCGGCTTCAGTATCAATAATGATGTCTATTTCAATAAGATTTTCCAAAAATATTTCATGTACAGATTCGACTTAGTTTTGAATTTTATTATATGTATAGATACATATTTACATTTACAAAGTACATAAATATCTCTCACGCAATTCGTAATATATACTTACTTGGTGCATGTTGTAAACAAAATTGTATTATAATTTAGCATTTCCTTACTTATTATTACTTTATTTACCTTAAATAATAATAAAAATACAAAAGTATTTTTTTTCTTCAGTTTTTTCATGTTTACAATAATTAATTTTAACAAAAATGTTACCACTTTCAAAATAATGTTTTTTTTTTTATTATATTGGGCTACCCAGTCATCCCATTATTAATATCATAAATGCGAAGTTTGGATGGACGGATGATTGTTATTCATTTACACCAGAACGGCTGAACGGATCTGGATGAAATTTGACACCGAGATAGATTATAGGTCACTTTTTATCCCGGAAAAATGATGTAAATAAAATCCCGGAAAAACGGTTGTAAATGTAATTTTACATTTAGTTATGTTTTTTTTCCCAAAGCAAGAGATCGACTATCTATTCCATACTTACCATTAAAACGTACCTAAGGACGAACCCGAATGAAGCGAAGGTGAGTTGCTAGTTAAAAAAATAAAAAATAAATCCCACTTCAAAAAAATAATAATATAAAAGTAAAAAAAAAACTGATTGGTAGTTTTCATTTACTATAGATACCTAATAAGCTATTCATCGAAATTGGTGTGCTTTGATTTGTATCGGCAGGCATCGGCTTCGAAAATATCTGATTAGATGTTTATAGTAAAAGAATACTACCAATCAGGTTATTTTTTATTTTTTAGTATTTTTTTGTGTGTAGTCGGTTTTTTTTAAGTTTTTAAATTTCTACTTTTAGTGTAAACATAGTAACAGCGAAGTAAAAAGAAAGTATTTGAATAAAATATTCGCTTAAGCCGTTTATGTTAGTTTGATGCCAATTTTTATATGAAGACTAACAAACTAAAATTCGCTTTTATTAGTAAGACTAAAAATCAGGCTCGAAAAAGCATACACTTTCAAACAAAACCAAAAATATTCCCAATCTGTTAATAAATGTGTATGTGTGTATGTATGTTAATAAATGACGGAGTTCTGAGGAAAGAAATATTAAAAAAACAGCCGAATTGAGAACCTCCTCCCTTTTGAAGTCCCATAGTTTTGAAGTATTTCCTTCTTATTGAAATCGGTTAAAAACTGAGCGACGCGTGTTAGAGCCTGAGCTAAACGAGAGCAAACCCCTAGAATAATAATTGTTTGAATTGCTCCCATTCTCAGAATAAGTTTTCATATACACATGCTATTATTCGTTTCGTTTGTACTTAACTCCTATATAATCTAAACTTGAAAATCGAATTTAACCCTGATTAACATATCCATTTCAAAGTTCAACATTTACATCTCGATCGGATAGTAGAGTAGGTGGATAGTGGCACTCTTCAATGGCTTCTAGTACAAACTTCAAAGGGCTCAGTTACTTTAGACTTTATAATTGATCAAAAACCTGTTATTTAAGTATTTTAAAAGTACAACAAAAAAATCATTTATCATATTTTCTACATGTCATATTCATTTCTATATTTATATTCAAACTAGCGACTCACCCTCGCTTTGCTCGGGTTCGTCCCTACGTTTTAACGGTTAGTATGGAATACAAATCTTTGAATTTCTCGGCTTTTCTGTACTAGAATATACAAGTATTATACATATAAAACTTCCTCTTGAATCACTCTATCTATTGCTGAAAACTGCATTAAAATCCGTTTAGTATTTTAAAAGATCTAAGCGAACAGACAGCGGAAGCGACTTCATTTTATACTATATAAAGACTTGTTATAACATTATGGCTGCATGTTTTACAATTGACGTTATGTTTTATGCATTTTTAAATAATGTTGGCAATTATCGCTGTTTAAAAGTAAAATAGTGATGTTCTCGAGCTTTTTACAAGAAAATATTATCCCACGGGAATTGACATATCGTGATTAAAAGTAGGCTATGCCACTCTTTTCTCAGTAAACAATCTCTTTTGCAAAATAAATGAAAAAAAAAATAAATGAAAAAAATAATAGATACATTTAAAACAAACAGATTAGTAGAAGACAGTGGTAGTCCAGTGGTAACATGATGACCACTTTTCTCACGGCGAAGGAAAACGTGAAGAAACATGCATTTCTGAGAGAATCTAACAAGTTTTCGAAAGACATTTGAAGTTCGCCAACCTGCACTTGGCCAGCATGGCAGATGATGCCCTGTGAGACGGTAAAAATGGCCGAATCATACAAACACATGTTAGTGATACATTAATAATAGAACAGCAGTATTGAATCGAACATTACTATAAGGAAAATATGTAAAAATAAAATACTTGTCCTACATCCTCATTCTCACTAATAATAATAGGCGAAATAATGTCCGAATGTTTATTCTACATATGTATATTTTTGTAGGCAAAATGCTAGAACGATTCCGATAAAAATTGGAAGAGTGACAGTTATTTTTGTTGTTTCGAGATATTGAGGTTATTACTTTTTATACTTAGGTTATCAGGGAAAGGGCAAATTACTGCTTAGAAACTGAACTTGATACAGGAAATTCTGCGTAACTTGATACTCATTCTATGACATAATTTATTTGTCAATGCTATAATTTAAGCGGCATTGCTAATTCTTATTATAAATGCAACTAGCGACTCACCCTCGCTTTGCTCGGGTTCGTCCTTAGCTTGCTTTCCAGTACAAACTTTCATCCCCATTTTCTCCACCTTAAGAGGTGATATCCGGGATAAAAAGTATCCTATGTCCTTCCCAGGGTTTCAAACTATTTTTTGTACCAAATTTCATCTAAATCGGTTCAGTCGATCTAGATATCACAAACTCACAAACTTTACGTCTTTATAATATTAGTACAGATGTATTGATAAATTAATATGTTTGGAGAATTTTTTTGATAGATAAATATATTTTATTTGACACTAGCGACTTACACTTGATTCCCTAGCGTCCCTAGATACCTAGGTTTTAATTATTTTGCACGAACCCCTAATCCTTTTCTAAAATAAAAATAGCCCAAGTTATTCTTTATAACACCAGCTATCTGCCAGTGAACGCCCCATCAAAATCAGTCAAGAGATTAGCCGGAACAAAGGACAGATAAAAATGTTAAAAATTGGCTTTTTCTTATAAGTACCGATATACCTATAAGTATTTAGAAATTTTGTACCTACACTCATGTCGACTAAATAAGAAAATACAATATTAACCAACCTATTTGTACAATGATCTAGGCGTATATTCATAATTCAAATAACCTTTTCACTTAAGGACAAATGATTGCCCAAAAAAAGAAAGATGTAAATTATCTGCTATATCGGATGAATCAGCGTTTAAGATGCAACCCACATAATTTATGAACAGCTACAGATATCATGTGTAAAGAACACGTATATCGACATTGTGCATCGGCCGGGTAATAGCACCTCAGTCGATGTCGGAAAGTAAAAAATGAACTCGACTCGTCCGAGTTACGCGACAGATTTTAGAAGATCGCAGAAATGACGGGGATCGGTTGAAGCGTTTATACTGTTTCACGTGCCGGGTAATATCTATAGGCTTAACTTTTGATATAAGAGGCCGTTCACAAGGCGCGGTCGAATGCAATTATCTTATCCGCCATGATGCCACAATATACTATGTACATAATATTTTGTCTAAAATTAACTTTATATGCTATCTTAAATTATGTAATTGTTATCTTTTGTATTAATAAATGCACGCATGAATGAAAGATAATTTTATTGACCTTTCGTCCACATCACCGAGCCGCCTACGTTCAGCCTATTGTTTACTTGAATGCTTTAAAATTTAATGTCACCCATTAAATTTTTAACATTACGTATTAAAATATTTGATTTCTTAACAACAAATAAAGTAACATTCGCATTTCCTATTAATAAATATATACAACAAAAACCTTACAACCAGTCATAACTAATTTATCAATGTCGTAATTTGCTAGTAAATAATACATTAATTAGCTAAAATAATATACATCGCTCGGAAGTAACAAGCAAACAGCCATATTATAACCGTTATCTGTATCGTAATATAAAAATACATACCAAAGTAAACACGCCGTTTGGGCGTTATTTAACTAAATATTTGGGTGACAATGCTACTAAAGCTTGTTAGCTGCAACTGCATTATGCACTTATGTTTCACGTTTGGCACCTGGCATTCTATTTATAGAGATGGGGAAAGCGTTTACTAGTGACCAACGAGCGCACAATACAAAATTACAGATATGTCCAACTATCAACGACACAAAGTTATCACAGTATCTTTTCACACAAGTAAAATTATAAAATAACTTTCGCACGCCTTCCGCCGTAACGGAGACAGATAATGGACTGGCAAGAATTCGAAACGTCAAATTCGAATTAAGAACGCGATGGCCGCTAGCCGCCACTAAAATTATTGATTTAGCAGCGTTACAAAACAACAAAAGATATAAAACGGGCCAGTTGCACACCCCCGCGCGGACCGAATCGATCAGAATGATAATTGTCGCGCACAAAGACCGAGTACTCACCTAGGCAGACGGAATGCACAATATAACAACACAACACGATATCAGCAAATATTATTCTTTATACGCACTGTATCACTTAAATCACTTAGATTTGTCAATAATAATAATAATAATAATGGTTAATTAGTGCGAATTAATAGCGTTTTGTGTCGGAGACGCGAGCGATTCGACGACCGCTGGCAAGATGGCTCCGTATGCCGCGCGGCGGCCGGCCCCCCGCGCCTCGTACGTGCAATGAAAGATAGGTGGCCGGCACACCGGGTGACGGGGACCGGCGACCCGTCCGGGGACGCTCGACACTTCGACTCTATCGCGAGATACGACTTGCGATACCATACAGTTTACTCTTACTGCTCTGTTGTATTGATTAGTTAATAACGTTATTATTTTAATCGTTTTTATAAGGATGCTAAAATCAAACAGGTATCTAATTATTAGAATTATGACTCAAGACATCCTACTAACAACCGGTTCGAATACTAAAATAAAAGGAAATAGAAATCATTAGACCATGACTAATCATTACTAGCATGTTAATGGATGTTATACATTGATATGAAATTTGAAACGGACAAATTTAGAACAAAAAAATATCTTCGAACGTATCCCACGACGCGAGCATCGTGTGCAACGTATCTTTCCCTTCACACCGAGCCTGATCCCCCCGCCTCTACCGACCTCTTATATACTGCTCTCTTTACAACAAAAAAAACACCAATTTCCCAAATTCCCGAGCGGACCGAGCGCTCTCTCGCTCGTGGCAAACCTAAGATGGCCGACGGCTTCCATTTTGATCGCAGATTACCGCGTCCCCCGATTGTTCAAAGCCTGAGCGACACGGCGTCCTCACATTACAACTCGCTTTATAAACATACGGCACATGAATTTAGGCTAAAATTTCCCGTTCTATACGACGGTGGAGACGCTCGGCCGTTTCAACTACTATTTTAGCTTAGTTATTGGTATCGATTGAATAATGGAGGAAAGTTACCGATAAATGGCCGCTTTAAAACGTATCGTTTTGTCTCTTTCATTATTTGTACCTGCGACAAGTAATAAAACAAGTACGCCACGATCTGTAAACTTACATAGATCGCGAATGTGTGTGTAGCGTTTCTTTCTCTAGGTATTGATGTTATTATTACGTGGTACGCTCCGTTTGGATTTTGAGGGCAAAACGTGAATAATACTTTAATGTATCCGATCTTATAATGTTGAGATAAAACTCTATAACAGCTATAAAATTACAAGCTCATGTCATTTCTTAAATAATAGTAAACTAAATTAAAAAAAAATCTTAATATAACTGATTGAAAAGAACAGGTTTTTTTTTATATTAAGTCAAGTTATAATTTAATAAAATCGCCTTTTGATAAATGAACCCTAAAATGTAGACATAATATACTAATAATATACTTATTACATATTCTATATACAATTTAAAAAAGGTTAAGAAATAATTAAAGTTATGTGTTATCTATATTTTAAAGTGAAAAATGCACTAGCGTCATTTAACATAATTAAATCATTAAAAGAAACAAACAAAGAGTTTAGGTAAGTAATCGAAATACAATATCGAGTTAAGCAAATATCGACCATAAGTCGTTACTGTTACGATCAAAAAAAAATTGTAGTTAGTGTTATTATTTTAATACATAAGTATGACAGCACTAGCGGTTTACCCGCGCTTCGTTTGGATTCGGCTTTAGAAAAATAAAAAAATCTATCCCACGGGAACAGTACATTTTTCCGGGATTAAAAGTCTATGTGCTATTCCAGACTATAATCTATCTCTGTGCCAAATTTCATCCACATCCGTACAGCCGTTCTGGCGTGATTGAGTAACAAACTATAATACTTTTTGTTTAGCACTATTGTAAAAACGGTTAATACATACTCGTACAAACAAACATCAAGCCCTGTTTGTTAATCGTGAAAACTTATAACTAAAACAAAAATAATATAAACGACAAAGGTAAGCTCGTTTCGAGTTTGCAACTGCTATTTGCAATTTAAGAAAGGTTTTATTTATATTGGCTGAAGCTACGGAACCCTCAGACCGAGAAAACGGTTCGCACTTGACTAATTTTAACTGTTTTTTAAAAGAAATACACATACTAAATACGTATGATATTCCTACATTAAAAAATAAAATTATCATGCGAGATATGTCAATTTGAACCTTAACTTCGAAGTGAAAGTACCTATTAAATAAATTATAAGTAATTAATAAATTGAACGTAATTAAGTATGTGAATATTAAAAGACTAGTTTGCTTCCCAACTTTTATCCCCATTTTCACCCTCTTAAGGCAGGATTTCTGAAATAAAAAGTTTCCTATGTCCTTCCAAGGGTCTTAAACTATCTTCTTACAGAATTTTATCCAAATCGGTTCAGTAGATCCAGAGATTACCCCCTACAACGTCACGAACTCACAAACTTTACCTCTTTATAATATTAAGTATAGATTATTGTACAGAGAATTTCGTGATTCACGTATGTATGTATATACATAATCAAATAGCGAGTTTTAATTAAAATATGTATAATTATATATTAAATATAAATCGATTACAATAACTGAAGTTTAAGAATCGAGTATTCGTTCGATTCCAGTTATCGATTATTTCTAGGCCTAAGCGACTTGCTAATTGCAATGCTAAAAACCACTATGTCATCTTTTAATACATCTAATAAATTTTACATTCTTGACTTTGATGTGGTTTAAATAATTATTTAATATTAAAAATAGTACACCGATTTGAACATTACCTAAAAGTAATATTGCCTTAGGGCTGTTCCTTATATTTTTTATGCGACCACCCTTGAGTGTAAGCTATATATTAAAAAAAATGTTTATAAATAGATTCGGAGTTGGGGGATATTGTGTAACATACTTAAACAAAAAAAAAACAAGATTGAGATGCCTCCTATTTTACATGTAGTTAAAACGTATCGATTTTATTTTAATAATAATAACGGAATGAATAATTTTTTTATGGATAATCGTTTTCTTAATACTGCACAGATAATTTATAACATTCGTTATAACTACAGATAATACAAAAATTAGTTATTAAAATCGAAATAGTTATATCACTTAGATGTTTTATGGTGTTTTGTCGCAAGGTCGCGGGCAAAGTATTATTCTTCATTAACAAGTAAAAAAAATAATAATTTATTATTTCCTTTAATAGGCAGGTGATAAAAATACCTACACGTATCAGTTGAAAATTCATAAGAGCAATTAATTAAATGTCAAAGTTAGTTCTCTACATATCCAGTCTAGTGGCATTTCACCATTCAGAGTAATTACAAATAAATTATAATCACTATATGTATATAATATAAGTAAAACGTATGTTTATGTGGGATTCTTTATATGTATACTAGCGGCTCATCTTTGCTTCGCTCGGGTTCGTTTCTAGAAAAACTAAAACAAATCTATCCCACGGGAATCGTACATTTTTCCGGGATAAAAGTAGCCACATAGGCTGTATGTATATATGTATGTGACTATATGGTAAAAAAGTGAATGACTAGCGATAGGCTTCTCTCAGGGCCTATCTGCATTATATTATATCTCTGTGCTTTTTTAAGAATACTTCGTAATATTTATATGATACCTGTTGTAATGAAAAATGTACCAAATTCAATCCAGATAAAGTAATCGTAGTTATATACAGTAAAAGTATAACCTAGCAAAAATATTTAAAAAAATACAATGATAAAATCTCGAAAAACACTATAGATATTAGATAGCCCATTATTAACGTGTGTACTTGAATAATCTTGTGATGCATGTTCAAACTCAGGATTCGTAATTCGCACCTGTGAGATTTTCTGAGAAAACCTCATATGGGAATCTGCACTCCTCAGTGTGCCTAAATTCGAGTTTTTACAAAAATATTTGAAATGGGTTGGTGTCCTTTATTTGGTCAGCGCGGTGGAATATGGCTTTTCTCCCTCGCTTTAGGTGGGGGAGGGGGGCAGGGTCCACCAATGGCGCGTCAAAGAGTTAAAAAAAAAATGATATGTCAAAAACTATCGGTTGCCCAGTTTAAAACGCACCAACGGATAGGCAGACAAAACACGCTGTATTTATAAGATATACGAACATTCAGTGTTCATTTTCAAACTAATCCTTTATACGCTCGTTAAAGCCCCGTTATGATCGGTTCTGCCTTGGCGAAAATTTTTTAATGTTTTTTGCACTTTGGTATCTTCATCGTGCAAATAATCGTATGAGAACAAGCAATATGAGGTATTTTATTTTTGACATATGATAGAGGTAGATTAAATATTATTCTAATCGGGTGTTCATTTTTGTATGTGACGCCATATTTTCGCAAATTGTGAATCGATTTTCCCATATTTTCAGTGCTCCCATAAAAATTTCAAGAAAAAAGTTAGTCCCAAAAGCTAATTTATTATTAACTACATAATTTACATAATATAAAGCCATTTTAAAATTGGTGTATATTAGTTAGATACATCATGTTTTATTTATTTGTGTATAAAGAAAACTACTTTATAGATTTTTATACTCTGTAAGAACTTTAATTAAATATTTTTTTAATATATAAAATTACTAGCAGAACCCGCGGCTTCGCTCACGCGAAAACTACAAAAAATCCCTAATAAGGTAGTTTCATACAAACTTTCATCCCCTATTTTACTCCCTTATAGGATGAATTTAAAAAAATGATAAAACACGTGTTTATTTAATTTCATTGAAGAGCCTCAATGCCAAGTTTCAAGTAATTCTGATCATACATATTTTTTTGGATTGTATTATAACGTGTTTTCCCGTGGGAAATAGATAATCTTCCGCGGTAAAAAGTAGCCTATGTCACTCTCCAGCCCTCCAACTATCTCCACATAAAAAATCACGCCAATCCGTCACTCCGTTTTGACGTGAAAGAAGGACAAACAAACAAACACACTTTCACATTTATAATATTAGTATAGATACATACCTATACCTTTTATTCGAATAAAAAAAATGTTATGTCATCAATAAAAACTAGACTATACAACTACAAGATAGAAACTAGTTTAGAAAGAATTCTAATCCTTTTGCAATTCAAGTATACCAGGAGTCCTGGAGCGTGCACCCTTAAACGAGATATCTACAAACGATATCGCAAATAAGAAAACTAAATAAAATGGCTATCCCATTTGCAAAATGATTTAAATTTAGGGTCGATTTATACAAATAAATATGGGAAATTTAATATGAAAGAAATAATTAACTAGCCAAGTTATCGCGTAACAAACAAAAAACAAAAAAAAACAAGACGAATTGATCACCTCTTTTATTTTGAATTCGGTTA